GAAATACGCGCGCGATATCGAAACTGGCGATACCTGCGCCGCCAGCGTCGAAAAAGTGAAAGTGACGTTTCTGATTATGACGTCATCATACAAGATCGGCGTTAGGAGGAGGAGGAGTATCTTAAAAATAAATTTTCCCATTTGGACTTTGCGTCGCAATATCTCCGCTCGTAGGGCACGTAGCGAAATATTATGAGAGAAACCCCCCCCCTAATTGGACCCCAAGCTATCGATCAAGCCTACTTAGAACTTGATCCGTTCACTCGTTATCGAGATCTCAACATCTCGGGTACTCGCAACCCGTCGCGTCGCGTAAAAGAGTCACGGTCGCGTCGGTCTCGCTCCGCGTGTACTTGGCGCGAGACACTACCGTGTCTCTTGATAATAATAATGCAACAAATAATTTGAAATTAATAAAAATACTTATTATTATAATAATTAATTATTTATTTATAATATTATAATATTTTAGTTTATAAAAATATAAAGAATTTTGGTTTAAATACTGTTAATAAATCTTTAATCATGACTTTAGAAATATGAGTTTAAGATAATAATTATTTTTTTGCAAATAAAACGAGTTAATTAGTTTAGTTCGTAAAAGTTTTGTTTTTATCGCAGCTTATTAAAATCGTGTAATTTTAATAATAAATTCAACTTTGAATCATTTTCAGATCATGAACGTACTCAATCAAAGGAAATCGAACAAGAATCCGATGACGATACCGACAATACCGAGCTCACCGATGATGAAAATAAAAGTTCATCAGAAATTGAAAGTTTGATTACAGATTATCCAGATAAATAAATTAATAATTTTAATAAATAAAGTTAATTGATTTTTTATAAGCGTATACTTTCATAATGTTGACGACTTTAAAATATAATTTTATTTTTAAATTACTTTATTTCTGATTATTACATAATTAATTACACATCATTCCACTACCAATAAGCACGAAATCGTTTACGTTTCTCCTTTGGGACAAGTAAAATCTTTTTCAATGAGTAATGCGTTAATAATATTACAGATACGGCGGGCAACGAGCTACCGGCGCGCTCGTGCAGACGACTTTAAAGGGGGTGCCAGATCAATTTTCCAGCCAGTACAAGTAGCCAGACTTATTTTTTTATAATTTTATATATTTAAACTACTATCTTGACAAGTTACAGCTCTAATCAAATGATTCTACAAATCGACTTTTTACAACGACTTTGGGAGGATGCCAGACTCATTTTCCAGTGTCAGTTGCATGCCAGACTTTTCTAAAACATTTCTTTATATAAAAAACAATAAATATATAAAAGCTCAGCACTAATCAAATTCTTCCAACATAAGTGTTTTTTCGACAAGATCAAAGGCGCCGCAACGCCCATTCCAGCGAAACAGCGCAGCCAGACTCTGCATTTCATCAACAACACTATTAAAACAAGAGAAATTACTTTGTTCCAAGACTAATAAAAAATCGCTGACACTTTTGTGTCGCTACCTCTCGGATTATAACAAGGAAATATAAGAAAAGTAAAAAAAGTCCTATACTAACGACGGAAGGCGCGCGGCGCGAGCGGCAACGCGGGCTCGCGCGGCGAAAGGGTTCGGTTCGCGCCCGCTACGCGGCGCATCGCCGGTATATTCTCGCGTGATTAAGATTCAACATCGACCTCTATATCTAGGGCAGCTCGGCAGGGTTTCTACAGCGTTCTCAAGTTCGCTCGTGGCGGACAGCTGACCGCCATAGCCTATAATAGCAACTTATGTTTTTGCCATGACTGCAACAGACGTCTCGTTTTTTGTCCATCAGCCATATTTTTATTCTTTGCTCTCTAAATTTCCTATACTTTCTTGAAATCTTTTGCATATTATGACTATATCCTAGCCGTGCAAGATTAGTATGGTATTTACTTTGTTCGTGTATACTTGTATTTTCGAGAAAAATTTTCTGCGTGTAACGATTCAAACCGATAGGAACCGATTGAAATTACATCTTTGAATACCAATCCGTTTCAATCGTTTTCAATCAGTGTAATCGTTATAAAATCATAACAATTCAAATCGATAGAATCCGATTGAAATTACATCCTTGAATACCAATCTGTTTCAATCGTTTTCAGTCGGTGTAATCGTTATAAATCCGTGATTTCCGGATCAAGAATCCAGATTCATGCGGATTCAAAATTTTTAATCGGATTCAATCGGTTATTTTTAGCAGGGTTGCACAGCTGATATATATTGACGGCAGGGAGCTGATGCCGAAGAGATCCCGTTTACGTGAAGGAATTATCGTAAGTTATCGTATCGTTTTCGTAAGTTACTATACAGAATTAAGTAACGTTCGCGTAAACGTAGTATAGGTTAGAGATTACCGGTTTCTTACAAAATTTTACATAAAACGCGAGATTCACTTATGGGAGCTTTCCAGCAAGCGACAGAAGTCGACACAGGTATCGTTTTGTCTTTGTTACTCATTGCCAAAAAAGAAAGATAGAACGACGTTTGTGTCGGCTTGTGTCACTTGCTGGAAAGCTCCCTATGTATGCAAGTTTAACGCCTATTGAGTTAATATGAAATAATTTTCCTAAATGTAAAAATAACATGATGTTATATATGCGGTTTGGCGTGAATATATATATAATATATATGTGATTTCTGCCTAGTGATCTGAATGTCATCTAGTTATACATATCAAGAATTTTCGATGGGCTTTTTCAGAAGATAGGATACGAAGAAAATTTTAATGATGACGATATCACAAAGATCCTAAGGCTAGATGCCACGAAATGGGCATGTATCGTCGATTATGCAGAAGCGGAATGCAAGTTATATATTGACGGCAGGGAGCTGATGCCGAGGAGATCAATCCCGTTTACGCGAAGGAATTATTGTAAGTTATTATCGGTTCAACTTATTTTTTATTCTTTTCCAGTTTTAAGAGTTAGAAAAAGATAAAAATGCTCTCTTTTCATTTGATATATACATTTTATATGTCCTCCTTTTCTCTTTTATTTACTTATACTATCTGTTGTACTTCGAAATCACTTATCTCTTTTATCTTCCTTCTTTTTACGTTTCCCTTTCTTTTGATGTTATTTAAAATTTGTAATTTTTCCATTTTTACTGTTAGTAGAATATGCTCCTCAAATTTGACAATTTATTTTTGAAACATTCCGTATTATATTATGCACTATATAAATTAAACTATGTATAATATATATAAACTAATTATATGTATGTTTGTGAATTATAGCAATTAGATAAAGAACTAAAGTTTCGTCATATCTGAAAAATGGCACCACCGAAGGTATTACTCGGACAAAATCGACAAAACAGCACTGCAACTTTGAGGAAAGGAATAACGACCAGAAGTCAAAATTCTTTACAGAGCAATGTATTACGACAACCCAATGTTGGTAGAGAAACCCGCGCCAAGCGAAAAGCGGAAGTTTCGCCATCTAAAGAAAAAACACATAAAAGATGCGCTTTTGCAAACATATATATAATATTTACTGTAGAAAGAAGTACTGTAGAAAGAACTTTAAAACATCAGCTTGTAGAAGATTAATTACATTCTTCTGTTGGAGACTAATGCTTTAAAATTTTTTATTTTATTCTCCAATAAAATATCCGTCTTATTCAAATGGAATCTATATAAATGTGTACTAATTCAATCACTACTATCTGAAAATAGTGTACCAAGTTGTCTATGCCCACGTTAATTCTGGCTAGGTATATACTGGAACATTCTCTGATGGATTATACAATGATCAGGTTTAGTGATAGTAAAATGGCAGCGGCGGCGTTGTTACTCGCGTTGCTAATGAAGGACTTGGGAGGACGGAATCCAACATTAGAATACTATAGCGGTTATAAACTTGACGACATAAGAGATATTTGCAATTTTTTAAACCAGAGCTTGCATAGGAAACACAAAGAAGCATTAAAGTCCACAGCAAATACAACAGCAAGAAATAATTATTTTTTTTTTGTTTTTTATTTTTTTTATATATATATTTTGTATATATATATATATATATATATATATATATATAGTATATATATATAACATATTACACTTTATATATTATACACGTTATAATTTATATATATATATATATATATATATATATATTTATATATATATATATATATATATATATATTGTTCCGGCGCGCAATAAACGCGCCGAACGAATTGCCGAATCCGTTCCGCGAGAACGCGAGATATCGCGAACGGCTCCGCTCAGCCTTTCAACTATGAGACGACCGGGGTTTCAGCTGAACGCGGACTCGATCGCCGGTCAGGAAGTTGAGTGGAAGGCCCAAAAGACAGCAAGTGACTTATAATATATACAAACTTTATTTGATATAATAACAAAACTGACGAAACGCGAGATGTACAGACAAATTAGTGCGAATGCACTCGGCGCACTGTGACTTGTAGTTTTGAAGCGCGGTTTTACATAAAGTGCGCACAGAAACGCGGTAGAAACGAGAGACGGTATCGCAAATGCAATTGTCGCGGTGTGACGGAGTTGCGAAACGCGGTCTTACGTCCGATGCCTACAGAGACGCGGTAGGTAGATACGGCAGGAAGCGAAGCGCCGCGCCGGGGCCACGACAGCGAGAAGGCTCGCTACGAGGCCGAGCGTGCTCGACCCCGCGGGATCGTGATCGTCGGTTTGGTAGGCTGGAGTTCGGGGACACCTGAGAGCCCTCAGTCGAGACTCGGAGCACCGGACCTCGTTTTATGTGTCGCCCTAGGAAGTTGGATAGGGTAGGCTTCGTCGAAGGCAGCAGAGAGCCGGAGATAAGACGAAGTGCCGGCTCCTGTCGGAGCGCCGACTTAAATACCCCGGCGCGGCGGGTTCGTTGGAAGGGAGGCCGGCTGTCGGGCGAGCCGCGTGGGGATGCTGACGCGCGCTAGCCTTCGGCGCGGATCGGCTCCTTCCGGCGGTTCCGAACTTATCGATAATTTTGCGTGAGAAGCAGAAGAAAAGTATATCGCAGTACATATAACAATTTTTATATTAATAAATTGGGGGAATCCCCAACATATATATATATATATATATATATATATATATATATATACAGACTTGATTTTATGCAGTTATTCACGACTTAACTACTATATTTACTGACTTCAATTTAAATAGCTATAATGCACATATTAATCCTAGAATACTACAACACTATAGAGCTTCTAGAGCATCGCGAAAACGCATATTATGAATCTGAAGACCTATGTAACTTTGATACACTGTAAAGCGGGGAGCACACACTTCTGCATAACGCATAATGCGTAAGCATAAGAAAATTGATTGGTCTATTTCTTTATGCACATGTATATGGACCAATCAATTTTCTTACGCATCAATTGCTTACGCATTATGCGTTGTGTAGAAGTGTGTGCTCCCCGCTTAACTCTGATTTAGAGGTTAATATTTTTATACTTGCTTTTTTTATTTTAAAGCTCTGAGATTTAGGAATATGCCAGAATAGATTTTAATACCGAAAAATTTTATTTTGTCAAATTATGAAGTTAAAACTAAATATCAAAAATAGAAAAGTCCAAGCAAACAAAATTTCGTCCGAGTATGAGAGATCTATGCTGTATATTCTACCGTTAATTACATTTTAAATAAAAAGTTATTCGCTTACTGTTTAAGTCGGGCTGTTTACTTTCTTCTGTGTGTATAGTGATATTTTTACAGAAAAGCACCTTGATTGCTTTTACAGTTCGGTAAACGCTGCCGGCCCTATCTGCAGAGACCATCAATATTACCATTAATATAACGTGCGATAAAATGGGACAATATAATATTAGAGGTAAATATGTTAATATAAATTGTAGAGTTAAGTTTTTATCTATTTACCTAAGATTCCCAATGTGTGAACTTATCTTTGTTTACTTACAATAGCTGTGTTCAACAGAAGAAGGAGCTCGATGATGGCTCTTGCACACAGGACGGACAGGACACGGAAACGGTTGCCGCGCGGCAAGAAGCGACATGGTAGCCAATCAACATGTCGCTTTCTCAAGCACGACCATTCACTGAGCGGCTAAGTAGCAATAGGATGTGATTGGTTCTTATCTTTGGATCCAACCAATCACACGTTGGTTACCGCGTCGCTTCTTGCTGCGTGGCAAGCGTTTCCGCGTTCCGTGCGCAGGGGTCATACGCTTCTACACTTAGATCCGAGAAGTGGCAAAGGTAGTGCTGCGATTTCGAGCCCGCGCACGCTAGCATGCGTAAGCTCGAAATCACAACACTTCCCAAAGACGAAAGCCTTTGATCATATTAAAGAATTACTGAGTACTTTGAAGCGCTCAATAAGCTGCTTTATTTGTTGAACGCAGCCGATGGTTTTTTTTATGATATAACCTTACTTTTTTTCTAATTATCAAAATACATTTTATATATTTTAATTACAGCACTTACCTAATATTATAAATATTAATAAAACACTCATATTTACATGTTCTGCTCTTATTATTTGTTTGTCACAGTTCTACATGTCAGTTTTAAATATAATACACTTTGCTGTGTTCGTTTAGGCACTGTAAGCTTATAAGCGCTATTTTCACTTATTCCAAATACGTAAAAGATATCCTAAAATTATCCAAAATGTGTCCAGGATGTCCTGAGGAATTTTATAGGATGAAACTTATTTTTCGCTCGTTTGAAGCAAGGCTATAAAGAGAAAGACCATTATACGAGCATTAATAGATGTTACGGAAAATTTATATCTAATTTTTATATGTATTATTGTAACACATATATGTATATTCCAACTATTCACTGTGCTCCGATCACAGCCGGACTTAATACACAGTTATCATTAGAATGTTAAAAAACCCTTCCATCCCCCCACAATTAAATCGACACGATTTAATTATTTAAAAACTGTAAAGAATTTATTGCGAAAAATATCACTTCAACCAGGGTTCGAACCTGGAACCTCCCTCATTCCGTGTAGGGCGTCGTACCAATTCGACCACC